CAAAAGCCACAACACGACAACAAAAGCCACAACACAACAACACAAGCCACAACACAACAACAAAAGCCACAACAAAACACGATAGCAAAAACCACAACACAACAACAACAAGAGCCACAACACAACAACACAAGCCACAACACAACAACAAAAGCCACAACAAAACACGATAGCAAAAGCCACAACATGACAGAAAAAGTCACAACACAACAACAAAAGTCACAACGGAAGTAATGCTAAAACAGAGGTTATTATGCTAAAGCAGAATTTTTAATATAGATATTAGAGACTTTACTTACTTTTCCATTCAAGACTTTCCTCAACTGTGATCCTTTATACTTCTTTGGTAAATGTGTGCACTTCTTCTCAGTTTCTTTTTGGTGGTTGTCAAATAACAATGTAGCGCATTACTGCCATCTACTGGTATGTATGTGGACTGGATCAGCGCTCAAATAAAAAAGAAAACAAAACAAAAACTCTTTTTTTCAAGCAAACGAGTCTGTTTCAATATCAAATTAGTCTGAGTACTGTAAAATTTTGAATTCCCCGGTAGAATTTCTATATTAAAAATTCTGCTTTAGCATAAAAACTTCCGTTTTAGCATACTTCCGTTTTAGCATAACTTTCATTTTAGCATACTTCTGTTTTAGCATAACTTCCGTTGTGGCTTTTGCTGTCGTGTTGTGGCTTTTCTTTTGTTGTGTTGTGGCTTTTGTTGTTGTGTTGTGGCTTTTGTATTTGTGTTGTGGCTTTTGTATTTGACATGACCCCTCMGGGCCACCGCAAAAACCGGAGTACACAAAGAAAACCAAAGTGTGCATGGGGAAAACAGAGAATCTCCACACAAGTCGGGAGGCAAACCTGCCACTTTCTTCATTTCACTGTTCCACCACGCTATCCTTATTTTCATCATGTCTCAGGAATTACATTTTTATCCTACTTGTCAATTTCAACACCTTATCTGTAATATCAGTTTGGAAGTGATTTCTGCCAAACGTGTCCTCAGATTAGACTGAGAGAAGAGGAAGATGTCATCCTCACCGATCTTTTTATAAACTATAAAAACAGTACCTTCAGCGCGGTTTGTAAATYTAGACATGGTTTGTGTATTCGTGACTCATACAGCTGAAAGCCGCAAGAGTGTGGGCTGATTCTTCAAGGAATAACTCGTTTGCACGTCTGTTCTGCTTCTTGCAGCCATCTATGAGCCATCCTGTGAGGCCTACAAGCTGAGTGGCAGCTCCTCGGGCTTCTACTTCATTGATCCAGATGGGAGTGGTCCCCTGGGGCCCACACAGGTATACTGCAACATGACAGGTGAGATCATGGTCGCCCTTGTGTCGTAACCTTTCAGCCACACAATGAAAAGTGACAACAACCTCAAAATAAGGAGAGCAAATGAAAGTCTTTGCGATACAGAAGCACTGAAGTTGAAGTCATTCAGTTGGGATCAGTCTGCATCAAACAATGCAAGCTTACTTCTGTTGAAAGGTTATCTTTTACTTTCAAGTATCACTGAGAGCAATTATTTAGAAAATATTTACGATTTAACAAGGTTATAGATCTAAAGCCCCATCGGTGGGTTCAAGAGGCTCCAATTTTCAGACGTAGAAAAGGTTAAACTCCTCTGGGGCATCAGTCCTGTCTGTGAGTTTCTTCCTCTGTTTGTGTAATGATGACCTGAGAGAATAAGGTTCTTTATCTGGCTCTAATCCATTTAGATCTTTGACCTGTATGTTGTGTTTCACTGTAAATGTGCTGAAAAAGCACAAGGCAAACAGAGATATTTGGTTGTCTTCAAGAATTTGTTGAAATTGTGTGGTCTGATACTTTCCACGATTGACCTGATGCTTCAAGTTCCTCAGCAGGTAGATAGCAGCCAGTTGTTACGGTCTAAATGATTTTRAAAATCAGGACTTCTGTTGATTTGCTTCAGGTGTGTGCTAACCATAGACTTAAATATAAAGATCACTAGACTGAGCCCCGCCCATACTATACACTGGTAACGTCTGTGACAGCATGGAGGAGCAGAAACGGCGTCTAAAAAGGCCAACAGCTCACAGCCTCCATAGAAACTAATAGATAAACAGCAAACTGAACTGGATCTGTTTCACAGATTATCTGTCATGTTTTTACAGTAAATTAATAATTATGTTAATTTCATTCAACAATCATGTAAAACAGCAGATTTATACCTGAAAAATATATAATTTATAAGTAACAATGATC